TCACCACACACATCAACGCAAAGTCCGAATGAACCTGCGTGCCTGCTACAGCCACTCGCTACTTCTACTCTTGACTACTTGCTGACCGCGATAGCGAGAACACCTTCATGTCACCAGGTCGGCACGCCCATTGCAACGTCCTATTTCTCCCCCACTCTCTATCACATCCCCAGGCGACTGCCAACCTCTGACATCGCACATTTGAAAGCGACCAACTCGCTCAACTCCAAGCTCTTCAGCAGCAAATTTCACCTTCACAACGCCCTCGCCTCGGCGGACAAGTCGACTCGCTTCGGTTGAACAATCCGCTCCTTGAACTGTGCAGAGACTTCCCTCATTGTCCTCGCTATCCGCCGCAACCATGCACAGCACCTTCTTCATCTCCATCATGTTCGTGGTCGTTCTCCTTGCGGTCAGCCCAGTCGTCGCTGGTCTTCACGAGGACAAGCGCTCGCTGGTTCAGATGCGAGCGAGAGATGGCAATCATCACCATCATAGCCACAAGAAGGCCAACAATAGGATCAAGACTGGTGCCAAGATTACCTTCTACGCCGGTAAGTCGAGAAATAATCTTGAGTCGAGATGCTGCCAGGAAGCAGAGCGGAGCAAAAGAAATCGCCAGAGCGTAGGAACGCACTGTCATGTCAGAAGCAACGTGGTCGGGGACGCCTCGGAAAGGAACCCCACGTGTGACGCCGGTTGCTGACCAGCGAGCAGTGCGCCCTCATCACCATTCAGGCGAACAGCTCGCTAAACCCTCTTGCGGCGGAAGCACTCCAAAAGACGAGGATATGATCGCTGCTGCGCCCGCGAACAGCCCAGCCAAATGCGGTGACCACGTCACGATCAAGCACGGCAGCAAAGAGGTCACAGTCACTGGTTAGTCGTCTGCTGTCACAAGTCAGCCATTCCTTCCACCATTGCTTGAATTCCACTGACTGGGCCGCTCTTCTCCCTTGCCTGTCTCTACTCGGCAGTCGTCGACACGTGCGGGGGTTGCCCCAAGATGGGTTTGGATCTTTCCAAAGGAGCGTTCCAGAAGCTTGCCACGTTGGACGCAGGTGTCATTGAGGGCGCCCAGTTTTGGATCAACTAGACAACGACGCGTGATGATGCACCGACAAAGTTTACCGATGCCAAAGTCATGCGCAAGACATTTGAGGATGAGGCAGAGCCCCATCCCGTCCCTCCAACTCCGCTCGCCTTTGTTCGCATGCGTTTGAGCACCGACTTCGGTCCGACCGACCCTTCTTACTCTGACAACATCGAGCCAGTCATTTCCGAAAGCTTTCCCTCCCCGAGCTTCTCCAATTGTAGCCCACGTTCTGTCTGCTGGGCCTCTTGTCGAGCTTTGAAGGTCAGCATGATCGCTCTGACCCATACCCTTTTACAGGTACCTATGTCTTCCATCATCCCACCTTCCCTCGTCTGAAAGAGTGCGCTCTGAGCTCCAATGAACATTTTAGCGCGTCAACGCTCAGCGTGATCGGTAGCGTGTCCCATGCCCACCACCACCCATGGCACCCGTTGCGTCTAGTTCGAGCAGAAAGTCGACACGCGTGCATGTGAATAGAGCCCAACATAAGTTGACCTCGTGTGCGCGCTTTCCGGCCCCCTCGATGGAACAGCTGCGCATGCTCAGATACAGACCGTAGAATTGATTGTTTTGATCGCCAGACGTACGTGTGCTCATGTATGCATTCCAATGATCCATCTCACGCGGCCTTGACAAAGTTTGAGGCCTTGATCCGTTCGCGATTCTTTTTCCTAAGCTGCCTCTTGATCTCCTCTGGCGTCTTGGGGACTTCCTCCACCTGCTGCGCCTGAGCAGCGGTCTTGCTAGCCTTGGCATCCGCCAACCTTTTAGCCTTTTTCGCCCTCTTCAAAGCGATTCTGAGCTCTCCCTTGGTGGCAGCCGCACCCAACGACGTAACGTCCGAGCCTCCTCCAGTTGTCCCTGCTAGCGACCAGAGCCATGTTGGGTAAGAGGCATCTGGTAGAGCAACAGGCTCGGGCTGATCTTTTAGCAACGCGAGACCCTTCAGCACCGTTCCTTCTGGGCATGACGAGACGATTCCTGCAGGTGGACCATATCCTGACCAGAGACAGAGAGACAGCGAATGTGTCAGAGACATTGCATAATCTCGAACATTGATGTCTCCCCACTGCTTTACTTGTTGCCGCTTGACCTTTCCATCACACCAGAGCGAGGAACTTACCTGCAGCAGCAGCTTGTTGAAGCGCTTCTGTGCTAGATGGACCAGCCTCAGTGGCAGCGGTCCCAGCTTCTGCTCGCTTAGGCTCGCTAGGTGAAGAGTAGTGCCTCAGAATTGCCATAGCGCTCATGCGTGGGGCGGAGGAGACACGACAAGCGCAAGCTTGACTAGCGGTGGAGGTCGAAGCCAAGACGGTGCGGACCATAGACCGGGGGGCGCTTCGGGAAGCCATTTTTGCAGCTGCCCACTGGACGAGGCCTTCTGCCGACAAGACTTCACCTTTGCGATTCCGATTCGCTTCTGTAGCACTCAGTGAGGCGTCGATCAGGTCGCACCAAGTAGGATGATCTTGAAAGGTTGGATGCTCGCTACCTTGTGGTCTGACCCGGTCTGGCTTTTTCAAGAGGTGAGATCTGATTTTGTCCCCCAACTCGTCTGCACGCGTGATGTGCAGACCAAGTCAGAGTTCTTGCGTCGAATTCAGTCCGGCACGTGATGCGCGCGCGCGGTGCTGGGATTTGCTCACCCTTGAACTCTGCTTAGCGGTGCATGCTCACCATGACATCCCCGGCTTTCCTCTCGCCACGAAGAGTTCATCGAGTGCGCTCGCTACATCCACGATTCGCTCAGGGCTCGAGTCTTGTATGGCCGCCACTCTTGAATCGTAAACCAGATCGTTGGATCCTTTTGTCTGTGCGTTTTCGACTAAGCTCATCTTCCGGGCGTCGAGCATGGCGCAAGGCGAGTCGGGCGTCGCGCGTGAGAAGGACAAAAGGACAATCACGAAAAATGAAGGGCGTCCAGCGGCAACATTGGGCGCGCTGGCAAGCTGCTTTTGCTGCGGGTGGGGTTTGCGTCTCCAAATCGTGCACCCAGACTTCCTCACGACTCGTCAATCTATCAGCGCGCACAGCCCATGGGACAAAGGAATCCAACCATTGCCGTCGCGGCGTCGCTCTCTCGCCATGGTCACTCTCGACAGCAATGTGCTAGATGTTGCTCCTGATGGGCCATACAACTGGCAGACAATGGTGGTGCTGAAGCTGCAGCTCAAACCGCAACGTCAATGCTGTCACTGGCTTAGAGACGTCCTCGTCTCTACTCTCACTTCTCTCGCTCGCTGTCTCCTGACCCGCTCACTCGTATCGTTCTAGCATAACTCGTCACTGATCTCATCCCGCTCTTCTCACTCCAAAAGGTCGACTCTTAGGCTCGCGCTCACCCAATAGCTCTTCTAATCTCATACTCCGCGCGTGCTAGCTCGAGCTCTTTCTCGCGGCGCCCACAGGTGTTTGATACACCTGATCGCTTACAGACACAGGCAACGCGGTAACATCGCCTGCGGCGAGCCTCTTGCAAATCTGCCAATCGCCGTAGCCCCGTAAATCATCCTCGCGAAGTCAAGCACGCAACAGCATCCACATCGACTTTCCGCAAGGTCAGGTCGTCTCAATCCAGCCTCTTCTGCTTTGGGCCGTGCTGGTCACGACATGGTAGCTCCGTCAGCCCTCAGATTCATCGGTCTAAATGCGCTCAGACTTCTCAGCGTATGTATCCTCCTCCTTACCGTGGCAGCGCTGATCGACTTGATGGTTCTCGATGCCAAAGCCATCAACGAGCTATCGCCTGAGGAGAAGAGCGACGTGGAGGAGGATTGCAGCTACTTTGCGGGCACGAGCGTACCCACCCACGTGTGGGGTCTATTTTGGTGCCAGCTCAACAGAACGTTCCTCATCATCCTAGCATTCATTGGTCTTGCTTCCGGTGAGCTGCGCATGGTTACACGACAGCACATGGAACGGATCCGAACTGACATGATCTGCCACGATATCGTCCGTCAACAGAACTCAATTGGGGCGGTTTAGCTGAGCGCTTCTTCAATCACAACATTCCAATGCTCAGCTCATCCTTCTCTACCATGCCCTTGGGCGTACTCGAAATCATGGTGCGTGTCATGATGTCAAAGGCCCCTGCGTCACGCTGACTGAGTCCTCGTCCTGCGCCACTCACCTTCATCGCCCAGATTGGCACCTGTATGCTCAGCTCTTTTCTCTGGATGTTCCCCCTCGTCGTGGCGTGGATGCTCGTTGTCATTGGTCTGCTGAACGTCATCCTTGGCGCGCTCTTCCGATCGAGGGGCAAAGACCTACGCTCTGTCATGACACGCAAGCAGAAGAAGGCGGACATCAAAGAGGTTCGGTGGGCGTCCCCAAGCGAAAAAAGAATAACGGTGCAAATGCTAAGACCGAAAAACGTCCGGGAGAACGCGTGGCACGCTTTCGAAAAGCTTCGAAAGGGCAAGGACAGCACGATTGACAGAGCTGCGGTCGGATTAGCCAGCACAAGAAGCGGTACATCTCACTTGCCCCTTTGGTCAGATCCGAACAGCGCAGCGCGTGATCCTGCTGGGGCGGCAGACATCAAACTTGCTAGAGCCAATTCGCGGTCAGCGCATCCGGATCAGGCAAGTGACTTTCCTTCTTTAGAGACCAGCGGCCAATCGGAGCTGCTGAGACAACGAGCTCGTGAAGCGAATGTGCGAGCCGAGCGTGAGCAAGAAGAAAGGGAAAGAAAGATGTTTGAGCTGCGTAGATTGATGCAGCTCGAAGATGAGCAGGAGTACAACGCGGAGCGCGATTTGGAAGCTGGCATGCGACGGCTGAGCGAAGAGTATGAGTGGAATGATGAGAAGAGCATCGCAGTGCCGCGCGTTCACCCACACGCCGACGAGTCTTCAGATCAAGAGGACAGAGCGGCACTTGCAGCCCCAATCTGGGCTGCTCATCGAACTCCTGACGACGCGCGGGAAAGGAAGGAGATAATGCAACAAGCTGCAAAAAAGGACGCGCACGACTTCATGCACAAGGGACGAGTGAAAGCTCGTGAGGATTCGACCGCTTGGAATGAAGGGGCTGGGGATCCTTCTCGTGCAGGACCGTCTGCTCCGGCACCACGAGAGCCTCAAGTCAGCGGCAGAAGATGGCCCAAGTCACCTGGCTTCGGTAGCAGTGCAAGGGAATTCACCGCGAGAGTGGGCAGACGTAGCCTTGTGCTGAGCCGACACCTGAAGGAGCTGAAAGCGACAGCAGTATCTCCCAAAAGCCCGAAATTCACCGTCGGAAAGGGCAATCCCAAAGCTCGCGTGCCACGTCTGCCCTTGGGCAAAGCTTCTGTCGGCCAACCGATTCCTGGAAGGTTTCCCAAATCTCCGACGAGATACCTAACGCGTCCTAGACGGGCAACGAACGCCTCGTCGACTGCGAGATCGTCCTATTACGAATCTGCAGATGAGGAACCTGCTTCCCCAGCCGATCGACAACATCCGACCCAGGATGCTGTAGAACATCATCATCCAATTTCGACCCACTACGACGGCGCCAACTTTGACTTCATCGAGGTGGGACCACCTCCGCTTCCAATCCGTGCGGAAGAAGTAGTCAAATTGGGACGGTCAGCTTCATCCGTCAACAAGCATACGATGCCAAGAATGCCTCCTCGAGCTTTTGTGGAAGCAGGCGGAGGTCGCGTGATGAAGGCTGAACCAGACGACGAGTTCAGAAAAGACTCGCTCGACTCTCTCACTTCAACGAGCCAGCCCGGCATCAACGCGTCGCGAGGCGAAGGGCACATCATCATCCACGAAGCCGACGGCAAAAAGAACAAAGCTTCGCAGTACCCAATCGCTCGACAATGGGCCAGCGAATGGAATCGCGATCGCCTATTGCGCGACGATACCGACGACGACATTTCGACAAGAAAGAGACCACTGAACATTCCTGCTGGTCGTTCGTTGAAGAGCAGAGCTCAGCAGACCTCGCAAGTCGCAACATACCGTACCGATGCTTGGGCTCCCAAGAGCAGGAGACACATCCCATCGAGCGGTCCACCCATCTGACCCAGCTTGAGCGCCCTCCTACCCTCAAATCCACCATCCACTCATTCCTTACCATCGTAGGACAACTTCTTTCTCATAATAGTTTCACATCTTCTCACCTGATAGCTTGCCGAAATCCACCAGATGTGGATGTTTGCTGTGCTCGCGTGTCGCCATCTCTGCTTGGCGCTGCGCGCATGATTCGTTCCAGATCAATGACTCTTGTTCGATTCATGAGACTAGCGGTCCAGCTCGCACTAGATGAGAGGTCACGCACCAACACAAGAATCTGATGGGATGCTGTTGAACGAGCCTGTTGAATGGCTCTTGTTGATTGCGACTAAGCTTCCGGAGAAGCGTTTTTGTGTGAGTGTATTGATGCGATGTGTTGATACATTGGCAGGCTCGGGTCATTGACTCGTGGACCGATAGAAGAGAAGTTGGCGTTGAGCAGCAAAAAGATCTCTTGAGGCGCGGGATTTTGGGGGGGATAATTGTATGGTGATGAAGCGGGATTTTGGCAGGTTCAAAGTGGTTGTGACTGAGGACGAGAAGCGTGAGAATCGGTGTTGAAAGATCCTGTGCTATGCGTGTGTGACGGGCCAAGAAGAGAGAACAAAAAGAGCATTGTGGTGGACACCAAGCTCAGGCCGACAGGGGCTGAATCGCTTAGTAACGGTAGTGCTCCTGCTTGAAGGGACCAGCGCCGTTGGGGTCGAGGTCGAGGTACTCGGCCTGCACCTTGGTAAGCTTGGTGAGCTTGACGTTCAGCTTGCCAATGTGGGAAGCGGCAACCTCCTCGTCCAGAATCTTGGGCAGCATGTAAACCTTTCCGCTCTCGTACTTGCCATCCGTGTTGTTCTTCCACAGCTCAATCTGAGCCAAGGTCTGGCAAGTGAAGCTGAAGGACATGACACCCGATGGGTGACCAGTGGCGCAACCAAGGTTCACGAGACGCCCATCAGCCAAGAGGATCACATGGCGGCCGTTGGCCATGGTGTATCGGTCGACCTGAGGCTTGATGTTCACGACCTCCTTGGCGTTCTTCTTGAGCCAAGCAACGTCAATTTCGACGTCGAAGTGACCAATGTTGCAGACAATGGCGTCCTCTTGCATGTTCTCGAAGTGCTTGGAGGTGATGATGTCACGGCAACCAGTGGTGGTAACGAACACGTTTGCGATGGGGGCAACATCGTCCATAGTGTTGACTTCGTAGCCGGCCATAGCAGCTTGCAGAGCGTTGATAGGGTCGATCTCGGTCACAATGACGCGAGCACCGTAGCCACGCAGAGACTCGGCGCAACCCTTTCCGACGTCACCGAATCCAGCGACCACGGCGATCTTTCCGCCAAGCATGACGTCGGTAGCACGCTTGATACCATCGAGCAGAGACTCTCTGCAGCCGTAGTAATTGTCGAACTTGCTCTTGGTGACGGCATCGTTGACGTTGATTGCAGGCAACTTGAGGGTCTTGCGCTTGGAGGCGGTGTATAGGTGGTGGACGCCAGTGGTGGTCTCCTCAGAAACACCCTTGATGTCAGCCAAGAGCTCAGGGTGGTTCTTGTGGATGAGCCAAGTGAGATCACCTCCATCGTCGAGAATCATGTTGAGAGCCTTGCCGTCAGGGAAAGCCTTGAGGGTCTGCTCGATGCACCAGTTGTACTCGTCCTCGGTCTCGCCCTTCCAGGCGAAGACGGGCACACCAGTGGCTGCGATGGCGGCAGCGGCGTGATCCTGGGTTGAGTAGATGTTGCAAGAGGACCAGGTAACTTGCGCACCAAGGGCAGTAAGGGTCTCGATGAGCACAGCGGTTTGAATGGTCATGTGCAGGCATCCCGCAATGCGAGCGCCCTTGAGTGGCTGGTCTTTGCCGTACTTCGTGCGAAGAGTCATGAGACCCGGCATCTCTGTCTGAGGTTGCGCGTGCAGGAGGGGTTCACGGGTCAGAGCGATGCTATACAAGTGCATTGAGCTGACTTTCGTGATCGACTCACCTCGGCAATCTCAATCTCCTTGCGCCCGAAGGCGGCGAGCGAAATGTCTGCGACCTGAAGTTGGAAGGATTGTGAGGACATTGGACGGGCTGAGCAAACAGGACGATCGCTGCACTCACCTTGTAGTTGTTCGACATGCTGGGCAGGGTAATCAGATGACTGCAAATACGAATATGTGCTGAGTGCAAGAGTGTTACCAGAGAGGTGTGGTGTAGAAGTCGAAGAGGATTGGAAGCGCGCACGGTCAAAGAATCCCAAATTTCTTCTCTGCGAATCGTGACAATCTGAATCCCTCTTGCCTAGCACACCCACCGCATACCAGCCGCCCTATCACTCAAGACTACTACTACAGCCTCGATACAGCAGTCACGAGTCAGAGTCTGCAGAAGCTCGAGCGAGCAGCGCTGATGCACGCTGCTGCTGGTCACGAGAGAAGCGCCGCAGACCGCGCCGAGGCGCCAGCCATGCACCGAGCGGCGAGCGCTGGCGCTGCAGACCTGCCCGCCGTGTACCCAGCCCAGCAGCAGCACAGCTGAAAATTTGCCTTGTGCCTCTTGTTGCGTGCCGTGCATGCTGGTTTGCGCCGGCGCACGTTTGCTTCCCAGCTCGCGACAAGCTATGATAAATCGCACGACCGCTTCTGAGGAGGAGAAAAGTCAAGAATTACAAGTTAGAAGTAAGCAGAATCTTGAATACTAATATTGAAGCTTGGTCATAAATGGATCTCACGTGATTGGCGTTGGTGCGACCCTCTGGATCAATCAAGGCTCCCCAAGCATCCAGACCCACCTCGAACCAGGGAAAGCCAATCACGAATGGCGACAGACCCGCATACTTGTGACCAGGTAGACCAGAGGAACAGCGTGCACAGTCACGTGTTTGCAGCGCTCGCCAACCTTTCATACCCTTGATTTCGACAGGCTGCGCCAAGGACGATGAAACACCTGGCTGGCGTTTCTTTGGTGACATTCAAATTTACCTGCTGTAGATTCATGCTGCAGCGAACTTTTTTGTTGATTTTCTTGTTTTGCCTGCTTGCTGGATGCCTTTCAAGGTCGTGATACCGGCTAGCGCCTGCGGCAGCACACTGAAATCCGGAAGAAACGTGCGCACAGCTTCCAATAGACATCAGCAGCAGGCACGAGAAGTGCGCCAGTGCGCGCGCGGGTGTGCATGAGTCCTTGATTTAGTGAAGTGCAGCCGCGGCTGCACCTATCAGAACGGCCCGTGCGGCTTGTCGCCCAGCATGCAGCGGTGGAGGCAAGAGCTAGGGGTCAGCGCACGGAGGCTCGACTTGGCCATTATTTGCACAGCAGGCTGGTTGCTGCTGATGCACGCGCGGCTCTTGGGAGTCACGAGTCCTGCTGCATGAGTGGAAAGAAAGGAGAGCGCCGCATTGGTTGACGCGTGGTCTGCACGCTGCTGCATGATGTGTGAGCTGCACCCCGAGGCCGAGGGGCGCGGGGAGACACGGCAAGACGATCGTGCGCTCATCTCGCGCTTGCTGCTCATTGCTGCTGCTGCTGCTGCTGCATGCCGTCATTTTGGAAACTCACGCTCTGAGTTGGCGATTTGTATCCAGCAGCATGGCAGCGCAGCGGCATCCGCACCAGCGCGCGCGGCTTGATCGCTTCATACCGTACACAGTGAGCATAATCCAGACTCTGACATTAGTGCATGCAGTGATGGCAGTGCTGTGCTGCTGCTGATGGCCTGAGCTGTGAGTGTATGCGATGCGAGGCACTGCTGCGCCTCGACCCTGACCTGAGACGCCTGCTGATGAGGACCACATAGGGTGCTGCTGCCTTTCTGATGCAGCTCCACGCATAGCAGCCACAACTTACGACCGCTGATGTGACTCAACTCTGCAATTGAGTGACTTCAAGTGACTGTCGATGATCCGACTTCGCGCGCGTGTGTGCGTCGCGGCATGCATGCAGCAGCAGCAGCGGTGAGCATGCAGCCAAGTTCGGCGCCCAATGACAATCACAATGACAATAATGAGCGAGCGAGCAGCAGCAGCAGCAGGGGCAGCGCGATGATGCGTCGGTCGTTTCGTCAACGATTGCACACGAGCGAGCCGAGTTGGCTTTCCCCACGTTCCGAGCCAACCCTCTATCTCCAACGGACAACCGGTCGTGTGGCTCTTGCATCCGCACCACCTCATCTAGCATCGTCAACGTGAGCGGATCAGCTGCTCCTGACCCCTGCTTCATTCTCCACCGACGCAGCGTCGCTCTGACGCTGATCATTCGATCTTCGGAAGCTGCATTCGCCGCTCCGTGTAGGCATCAAGACAAGCTCTGCTCTGCGCGGGCAGCACCTCATACCACAAGCTCGCTCGCCGTCCACTTGGTCTCCTCCAAAATAGCGCTTCTCTTTCATCTCGCCCGAAGTGCTTGCCGAATATGCCGGGAACGAGCACGGCGACAACGGACAGTGCTTCAACCTCGGCCACCACCGATGCCACGTCCGTGGGGGGCAGTCAAGCCCAAAGCTTGTCCAAAGAAGGAAGCGGCAGCAATGCTGCTGCAGCCTCTACAGCACCAGCCGAAGCTGCTGGCGATGTGAGCGCGGAAGAGTTGGAAAAGGCGCCCGAGGCTGTGCAAATGACGGACGAGGAGGAGCTGACGGCTGCTGGCGAGAAGGACAACAGTGAAGGCTCAAAGATCAAGACGCTGCTCGGAATTCTCAAGCGCATGATCGGCGTCAAGGATATTGCCGCCATGTGAGTGCGAGAGTCGCGTTTGCAGAGTTGATCTGTCAAGAGGCTCCTAGCTTGTCTTGTGGACCAAAGCACACTGCTGGGCCCCGTCCAGCTTTCACCAAGCAACTTCCTGACGCTCTTTACCCCCACATCTCGACAGTCGACTCTCTCTCCCTGCCAATCTGCTTGAGCCAGTGCCCAATCTGGAATACTGGAACTACCTCGGTGAGCTCGCAAGCTTGCCGGTGAACACTAAGCCCAGCGCTGACAATCGCTTGCTGTTCCTGGCCTGCACTTGTAGACCGAGGCGACCTTTTCACTACGTGAGAATGCGCACCTACTGGCCCCTGGCCGGCTCTCGCTGAGCTGACCATACTGCAATCCCATCTGCCCTCCTTGTAGCATCCCAGACTTTGACGATCCGCTAGACCGAATGCTGGCAACGCTGCGATTCATGTTCACGAAGGAACTCAAATTCGTAGTGCGTGAAGTAGCCACGAGCCCTGCGGGCAGCGCGAGCCCCGAGCGCAGGGGGCATATGGCGGCCATATCTTGGTGACAAAGCTGACCGGCCTTTCTGCACTTTTGCAGCGGGGCAAGATCTGCAAGCCTTACAATTCAATTCTGGTGAGCGCGCACACCGTGTTACTCTGCAGCTCAGCCTGCCTGGGACTGACGCCCAAAGACGTTTCTCACTGGTGTAGGGGGAGCATTTCCGGTGTCATTGGGATGTGCAAATCCCTCGTATCACGGATGAGGGAGACATCGTGCCGCTGCAGAATGTCTCTGTAAACGAGCCCAAGCCTTTGCAGCAGTCTGCATCCACGAGAGCCTTCAAGTCTACTTCTCGAGTCTCTCGGCAAGGCGCTACCGAGACTGGCAAATCGCTTAGTCCAGCTTCAGCAGGCGATGGAGGCAAAGCTGCGAGCCGACCTGGATCTATCAGAAATGTGAGCACCAACACAGTTGCTACCTCTGCCAGCACGGTCGGATCTACAGATGAGGGCAAAGCGAAAAAGACCTTGAGCAGATTCCTAGGCAGACGCACGACAAACCAGAGTATCACAGAGGCTAGCCAAGCCGCGGAGACACCTGCCGCAGCAGCACCGAGGATAGAGACGACTGACTCAGCAGGCAAGAATCAGAATGGTGATGATGACGATGACGATGATGCAGGATCCTTCAAGACTTCTAAGAGCGACGGGCCCGAGGCGCTTCCCGGCTTGTCACAGGGCCAGCGCCGCATCACATTCCTCACAGAGCAAGTCTCGCACCACCCTCCCATCTCTAGCTTCTTTGTGGAGTGCAAGCAGAGCGGCGTTCAGCTTTGCGGCGTCGACCAGCTGAGCGCCAAGTTTACGGGCACATGTACGTTGTTGCCGTGGGCCCTCGCTCGTGTCAACCGTGCTACGCACACGCTCACCATCATCCTTATCTCTCTGGCGATGCGCAGCTGTACGAATTTTCTCCGGAGATCAGAATCAAGGCATCTTTGTCAAGCTGCTCGACAATGCCAAGGGGCCTGCTGGGGAAGAGTACCAGGTGGAACACCCAACTGCGTGTGTCAACGGATTGTTGAGGGGTTCTCTCTGGGTCGCGATCTGCGACACCCTCTCCGTCACCTGCCGAGGGGGTGTTCGAGAAGGCGAGACAGCCGATGAAGACGGACGTGGATCTGGGCCTAGGCTTAGAGCGCTTTGCGAATACAAAGATGAGGTGCGTTTGGGCAGAAGAGCTTTGAAGAGCTTACCTGCATCACTGACGCGCGAGGTCATGAACTCCCATCAAAGAGCTGGGTGTTGAAGGCGAAGTACGCCTTGGAGGGCGTGATCTACGAGTACGATGAGAGCAAAGGTCAGCCTGCTACGGAATTCGACAAGGTCCGACAAGTCCCTCAAGATCGCATCGTGGCCACTTTTGAGGGTTCCTGGAAAGGACAGATCACATGGAAGAAGAAGGGCGACAAGGTGAGAGGATGTGTGGGCTTTGTCGTGATAAGCATTGAGCCTTGGCTAACGTCTGACCTTTGATTCCCTTCTCTTGCAGGAGCCTCGATTGCTCATTGACTTGAACGAGCTCGAACCCGGACAAAAAGCTGTCAGGCCATTGTCCGCTCAAGAGCCTTATGAGAGTCGCAACATCTGGGAGCCGGTCACTACTGCTATTCTTGCCAAGGACTTTAGTGCGGCTACCAAGCACAAGCAAGAGATCGAGCAGAAGCAAAGAGACGCCGCGGCAGACAGGAAAAGGAAAGATCAGCAGTGAGTATGTGGGCGAATCATTATTTTCACCAAACTTTTGAATTCACGAGCCAATCGAACGATCTTGCTCATTCCCTGCTTGCCCCATCTCATCCATCAGATTCGTCCCGAGATTCTTTGACGCGGACATCACCGATGGCAGACCCAGGCTCACCGCAGCCGGACGTGAGGCGCTGGATGGCGAAGGCAGACTGGAAGGCTACTGATACCCTCTGGAACAGCAGCTATCCTCTTCACATACGGTTTTGATGTCACGGTCCCGCACCTTGCCTGAGGATGGGATCCTCGAACTTCGCGATGCGCCCATTTCATGTCTCTCCTTCTCCGCTGACCACCGAGGCTCCAAAAGTGACCAACGAAATGCAAGGCAAAGCCCCTGCGTGGGATGTTCAGACCTCCCTCCCCCTTGCCCCTGAGATCGAAAGACACATACCAAATCTATGACTTTCGCACGCAATCACATCAACTCGCACGCCCTTTCCCATAATCTTGCGTCGCACGCAGGCAGACGTCAGAATCGCCGCTGGAAACGTTCAAATGCTCGAGAATCGTGTGTCGATTACGTCTGCTGAGCGATGGCGGACGTGTGCAGTCTGTGCAGCGAAGTACTGGGTGAGTCCACAAGAGATGAAACCAAAGATAAAAGTCGATGCGTGGGAAACTAGGAGAAATGCTCGAGTAGTAGGTTGAAGTGCTGTTCAAAAGAAATTGGACGGTAAGGAGAGCAGGAATAGAGGATCGGAAAGATTTGTGGGAGGCGAAAAGGGAGAAGAGCTGGAGGAGAGAGTGGTTGCATTGCGATTGCACGCAAGGATCGAGTAGCGAAAAATGGTTTGTTTGTGGAGTCGCCAGATGAATAGTCGTGCGGCCTCGTGGGCTATTGACGGCGGCGCTCGCGAGGGGCAAATGCATCTACTGCACGTCGATCAAGAGCATTTGTGCATTATAACTTTCGTTCAAATCAACCTGAAAGCTCGGTATTTGATCGTAATGCAGCTGCTCCTCTCTTCTGCGCGCACCGAGGGTGCAAACATCTTTCTCGTCAGGCAGGCAGATGGTAGTTGCGCTTGCTGATATCGAGCATTCCACCCAAGCCTTCAGCAGCGATGAGCCCGAGGGTCTCGCCATCCTGCAAGAAGGACAAAGACCAGATCCAGATCAGCTAAGAGCGCATTGAGGGGTACTTTACACGCGTAGCAGACTTACGTCAGAGAGCTGGTCATCGTCGCTGCCGTTTGTGGGCGCATCTCCGTTTTGAGAGGCAGAGTGGCTTCGGCCAACAGAGCTAGGCGGACTCGAAAGCGCGGTAGAAGACTTTGATAGACTAGCGTCCGTAAGCACAGTGTTTGTTGTGGATAGCCCGTCGCCGTGGCTCGCAGTGCCGCTAGGTGTATCCGGACCACCACTTGCTGTGCTATCCTGACGCTCAACATATGGCTTGGACGAGCGCGGAGATTCTTTTGAGCCTAACGAGTGATACTTCCTTGTGCCATTCTCTCCTTGCTCATCGGCACTGCATCCTGCCTGATGGAGGACGTATGCTTGCCAGTCGTCTAAGCGCCTCACGCGCGTGCCTATCGAGTCGACCTCAAGGTAGGGTGATTGTAGTACTGAATCACGTACTGCATCGATTTCCGAGGTGATCCTGCGCACGCGGTTGAAACTGGCAACCGTCGCTATGGGAACCCAGCCGTGGGCATCCATGCACGATCGGAGATAGAAGTCTCCCTGTAGGTTTTGGTGACTGAAGTAAAACTCTATCTGACGGAGCAGTTGATGCGAAACTTCGTCTTGAGAAGCGGACGGTTCACCGTATGCAGCCGGTGACTGTCCTTCAAGCGGATATGCGGGAGATGCCAGCGGTTGATATGGTGCTTGAGGAGAGAAGTTTGGGGCTGCCGCCCACCCGCCCACCATCATCGGGCTGTACGTTGGCATTGTAGAGTGTGAGAAGGCCCTGGATCCGTCCTCAGGGTGGGTGAAGAATCGTTGATGGTATGAGGAGTCGTATCCAGGCCCAACTTGCTGACCAGAATAAGCGCCGTTCCATTGCTGACCTCCCGAGGCCAAAGGCTCGTGACGTCCGGCTTCGTAAGGCCCAGTCTCCACGCCCTCAGCAATGACCGGATGATACAACGGCAAGCCTCTGCTGTCGAAATGGTTAGAGTAGGCACCAAAGAAGCCGGGTCCTCCTCTTCCACGTCCTCTACCACGTCCGCGACCGCGACCTCTATAGCCTACCCGATGCCCCTTCCAAGCGTCTGATGCCAAAGGAAGGTAATCGCTGGCACGCGTCGGAGAAAATGAGCCGTCCTTGTTGATGTGAGAGGGCATAGGTGGATAAGCGAGAGGCATGACCTCCTCGGAGTCTGCTCTCGCTGCCGTGTCTGAGTGATCAGGCGCAAGGGGCGTGATGAGAGATTCATCCTCTTTAGAACTGGTGAGATCGCTGCTCGGTGCTGGTTGTAAGTCACTGGCGAGGTCACGAGCCCTTCCAGCTCCATTCGATGGAGACTGTGTCAGGGTGTCATTGGACGAAGATGAGCTAGGCTGATGACGCTCTGCGTCACGTGCTGGAAACGCCAGGGCACCATGTGGCGTGCTCGGTGCTGCTTGTATGGCATTCGAGCGCGCTGCGTCAGCAGACTCGGCATCGAGCGTAGGTCCCACAGCGCTAGGCGTCCCGGTATGAGCGGCCCCCTCATCTTGCCCACCATTATCAACCTGGGACGCGCTCTCTGACGGCTTAGACAAAGCTGAATGCTCTGCTGACTTCCCCTTGTTCGCCTTCTCTACCTTAGTCCGGGAAGCTCCTTTCTTAGTCGCATGGGTCTGTACTTGCGCAGAGCCTGCATTAGGTTTCCCTGCTGTGCTTTGCGTCCTCGAGTCTTTGTTCGTGGGAGTTGGTCTTTTGTGTGTCGCCGACTGAGCATGTGTCAGCGTTGGTACGATGGAGATCCATTGCTTTCCTTTCTTGTTGCCGCCACCGCCCTGCTTCGCCACTTCCACGTCCAGCTGCTCCAACTCTGCAGCCGTGGCTTCGGCATTGTGAGAAGCGCGGCTCTTTTCGCCATGCCCTGGCTCCTGCGTTAGCCCAGAGGCGTCGACGCGGCTCTTGCTTCTCCTTCGTTCTGGAGTCCTCTCCGCTCTAGCAGCCAGCGGGCTTGGCCATTGCGCCGATTCATATTCCGCTACTTCTTTTTTTGGCAGGGATCCATCTGCCAGTCGGGCGTTCCGACCACGAGAAGCTCCTACAGCGCTGGCCTCATCGTGATTCGACGAGGCATCGCTCTCCCCTCTTCTACGTCCCGCGCGATCTGCGGTTTGGTTGAATGCAGCTTCAAGTGGGAATTGTTTCAAAGTACCCCAAGCATTGGGGCGTGTCTGAGCCGTGGCTGATTGGGCATTCGGCTTATCGGTACTCTGGGAGTTGCCAAGATTATTCCGGGTTGGAGAACCGGAAGGGACGAATGATGGCATGTTCTCGCCTCCATTGAGTAGATGTATGCGTTTCAACCAAGCATCATCATCGGCAGCAGCAGCAGCAGCAGCTGGGCTTTCTTGGAGTGATAGGCTAGTAGCTTGGGCAGTGGCACTTACTTCTGGCGCTGGCATAGCAGCGACCGCTTCACCAGCAGCCTTCTGCGGTGCAGACTTGGATATCGCCCCGTTCCTTGTCCTAGCTGAAGCATCATCCTTTGCTTGGGGCGGCTTGTCGCCCGGTGAATGAGGCAGAACCTGGGCAGGGAGATCCGCGCCGGGCATACCGCCTTGCACCAGAGTTTCATCGCCGTTCTGTCCCTTGCGAGGAAGCGTAGGGGTTGCTGAGGCGGGATCCCTTGCGATTGCACAAGTAACAGATCGACCCGCTATGGCTTGCTTAGGGAGCCGAGGCGGCGCGGTCGTGTCAGTGGCTGTGTCGAGTCGTTGAGCTGAACCAAACGTAGATGAAGCTTTGGCCGAAGCCTTGTGAACTCCTTCGCCGCCTCGCAAATCGGCTTTGTTCGACCTCTGATCAGAGCTTTTGGACTTGCCCTTTTGAGCGCCCACAAGTCTCTGGGTCTGAGCTGAGCCGCTGCTCTCCTCCGGTTGGCCCTGCTGCTGCTCCTTCCTCCTTTGGGCCTCCTGCTCGCGATGCTGGTGTTCCTTTTCTGCTCTCAATCGGGCCGCTTCTGCATCCTTGGCGGCTTGTTGCTTCCTGCGCACTTCCCAAACATTTACTGCTGGTGCTGGAGCTGGGCCTGATGCGCTTTGCTTGGCCTTCTCATCTTGGTGTCCGTCTGCCCCAGCACCGCTATTGCCTTCGACTTCCCGCTTCTTGGGCCTCTCTGAGCTGTCCAAAGATGAGGTGGCTTTGGAGATTGCAGAAGTCTGCTCAGGCGTCAGCCCAACCCTTGCTGGTGATTCTGAGGTTGTGCCAGCACGATGTGAGCCGCTTGTGGAGGGCATGGCTGACGACGCCAATGTTCGTATCCTCGAGGGGGAAGCTGGAGGATGATGCAAATGAGATATTGTGCCAGATGCCTGCGCGGCAGAGCTCTCTGTGACGCTCGACGAGGCGATGCCATTTGCAGCAAACTTTCCTGAAATGTTATCTGGCGTCGAGAGCTGGGAGAGGCGCCTAGGCTGAGCACCAGAGCTGGAGGATGTAGATGCAAGGCTTTCCTGTGGCTGCGCCTTGCTACCAGCGGCAGGTGCCGTCCCGCCCTCTTTTGCTTTCCTGAGGCGCTCAGCATAGGACAGTCCTCCCTGACCACCCGCGATCGAGGACCACGCGGACATTGTGGCGAGCCTGCTGGGCCAGTAGTCGTGAGTAGTAGCTCACTTTTCGAAACTTCGCCAGATCGCGCGCAGGCAGAACGGGCGTTCTGAGGCCCCTGCCGTACACAAGCTTTTCGAAGCTGCCACTGCCGATGCTAACGAATCGGTACGACTAGTGTGCAGGAGAAGGGGAGCGATGGAGGCGTAGAGCAAATGCAGAGTCGAGCTGAGGCACATAAGAGGCTTCGACACCCGCGACAAACGCAGATCACCTGTCCTCGTGACTGGCGCATCACTGAATGCGTGACTCGTGAATCGTGAATGCGCATTCAAATTCGAAGATCCGCGCGCTTGCGCTGCTCTCACGAAGGCGCGCGTGGCTCAACTCAGCCTCGGAAACGTGTTGCGTACGTGCGAGTAGGGTGCCACGCTAAGCGACAGTCACAACAGGCTGATGAGTCAAGAGTCAAAGTCCCCGCACGCTTCCCCTCGCGACCCCAAAAGCTCAACGTGATTGAGGACGGGTGCGGTGAGCTCGCGCTCCTGTTGCTGAGGTCACGTATCCCGACGAAGCGACGGATTGCTGGCCGCCTCGCCGAGATTCGAGACTCACGACTAGGTTGACACGTTGAGTCAGAGCAAGCACAATGAACGAGTGGCCATTCACGATTCTTGATTCACCAATCAGAATGGAGAAGGCACGCAGCCCGCCAGACCAGACAAGCCACCGCCCTCCGTTCATGCAATCACGAGCCATCTGACGCCCATGCACTCACTCATCAAGCATCAATCCTTGAATCGTGAATGCGGGGCTGAGTAGCGCCGCGTGCGCTGCTTGCTGTGTCCCGGTCGTGACATCTCCGTCGTACGTGCTGAAGTCGTCAGCATTATAAGCCGCCCATGTATTTGTGTATATGAATATATATAGCTGAGCCACATGACAGGGCTATGAGTCTCATTTCCGCGGGCCTTTTCTCGATTCAATTGTGAGACCGTTCGTGACTCGCGGCTATATAAGCTGTTCGTGATTCAAATTTGCAGCTCCGTGTCGAGTCACGAATACGAGCCAGCATAGCCACAAGTAGCGCATCGCTCAACGAGGGGCCGCGCCTACAGCTTCGCGCTGTTTGGTTTGTCTCACCGCACAGCACAGCCATCAAATCCGACATTTTGATTGACTGCTGCGGTTGCGCTTCGGTGCGGCAAGGGCCCATGTTGAGAGCCTTTTCGAAGCTGCGGATTTTCAAAATAGTTCAAAATCCAGAGCAAAGCGCAAGGTAACAGCCCGCGCAGACTGCACACATCCGTCAGGCATGCCTTTTCTTGAGTCTGCTCTAGGATATGGCATGTGCGGCCTCCATGCCGTGACCCAGCCCATCTTTACTCACGACCAAAGGACTGCATGGACACACAACGTCACGCTGCCACGGCTTCTCTGAACCTGCTGCGCGTCAAGCTTGCCGGCGTAACAACAGACGTATGCTCACAACAATTGTGTCACTTGAACTGAGCTGAGTTTGTGGGACGGAGATGGAATTTTGGGAAGGTGACGTTGAAGACAGCATGCCGGGTGCGGGATTGAAAGGTTTCGAGGCGACCTTGAAATGGATTTGAAGACGATACAATAGGAGGCAAGGGAAGATGCTTGAGACGACAGTTGCTCCGTTGAGGTGCAATAAGTGCAGATGAGATGGGTGTTCCGAGGAGGAGTCACGCAGAGTGCCACTCAGACGTGGCCATTGGCACCGCTGGGCCTCTTGATGGAGGAAGTGTCCCTGATACCTGGCAGAGGGAAGCTGGTAGCGAACGCCTCGACCTCCTTCTTGAGCTGCTTGACTCCCTCGTGCGTGTGAGCAGCCTTCTTGAAGTCGACAAGCTTTTTGCCAACCTTGCCCTGGATCTCGAGAGCGATCTCGGTCATGCGGTGCAAGAAGTCTGCCACCTTGAGCATCTCTTCCTCCTTCATGCTGCGACTTGTCAGAGCGGAGGTGCCTAGACGGTAGCCACCAGGGGTGAGAGCAGAGGTGTCGCCAACAACGGCGTTTTTGTTGACCGTGACACCGCAAAGGTCAGCAAGCTCCTCAATCTTGCTTCCGGTCAAACCAATGGGCCTCAGATCAACCAGGAGCAAGTGGTTCTCACTTCCGTCGGTCTGCAGCTTGTAACCGTGCTCGATCAAGCGTTTGCCCATTGTCTGGCTGTTCTTGATGACTTGGGCAGCGTACTCCTTGAAAGCGGGGTCAGCAGCTTGCTTGAGAGCGACTGCAATACCTGCGATGGTGTTGTTGTGAGGGCCACCCTGGCAAGCGGGGAACACGGCGGCGTTGATCTTGCCTTCGACTTCGGCGTCTTTGTCCTTTTTGAAGAAGATGAGGCCTGCACGAGGGCCACGGAGAGTTTTGTGAGTGGTGGTGGTGACAATGTCGCAGTATTCAAAAGGGTTGTTCTGGACCTGGGCAGCGACAAGGCCGGAAATGTGTGCAATGTCGCTCATCAGATACGCCTGTTGGCTCTTAGCGGTCTCGGACAGTCGCTTGTAATCCCAGTCACGAGGATAGGCAGAGCCGCCAGTGATGAGCATACGAGGCTTGAAGAGGTCGGCATTCTTGTGCAGACCCTCGTAGTCAATCAGCCCCGTCTTGGTGTCGACCTGGTAAGGGAAGCTCTGGAAGTAGATGCTGCTAGCGCTGATCTTCTTCTTGGCCGTGTAGTAACCGTGGGTCAAGTGACCACCGCTGGGTAGACCAAGACCCATGATGCGGTCTTGGGGCTGCAGGAGAGCAGTAAAAGTAGCGAAATTGGCAGTGCTACCCGAGTATGGCTGAACATTGACGCCCCAGACGGCAGGGTCAAGGTTGAAAGCCTTGAGTGCACGCTGCTGGCAGAGCCTTTCAAGGCGGTCGATGTGTTCGTTACCACCGTAGTAACGAGCTCCGGGAAGACCTTCAGAGTACTTGTTGGTCAGAATGGAGCCGTTGGCCTCCATCGTGGCCAGAGAAGTGAGATTCTCTGAAGCAATGAGCTCCAGACCAGAAAACTGGCGCCAAGTCTCATCGTCGATGATCGACTGAACCTCGGGGTCAGCCTCTGCAAGGGGCGTGTACAACGCCTTGTTCTGCGCCAACGACAAGGGTGATTGTGAGCATTGCTTGAGTCCAGAACATGGGACGACGGCGACCAGTACTCACGTAGTCAGAGGGAAGTGCAGTGGCCATGTTGCGCGCGAAGTTGAGCTGCGACGAACGAAGCGGGGTGGTGTATGGCGGGAGCGCTGACTTGACCAGGGCAGGAGCAAGTCGAGAGGTTGAAGCGGCTGCACGGACAAGACCTGGGATGGAATTCAGTACTCGAACGGGCATGAGCGTCACTGAGAGCGAGGTGGAAATTTGGCACTGGAAGATGTGATGTGAGGGAAAGGGTGGACAGTCACGAGTGGCGGTAACCTTCGCGCGCGATGACTTGAGATTCGCCCAGAAAAAGCTTTCTTTCCTCTTTTTGGCCGCTGCTGTGCAGTCACAGAGATTTAAGTGACGGCCGATGAAGTGCCCTGCTGCCGGCCTGCCCCGCCACGACGCGACACGACACGCGGCACGGTGTAGGTCGTGCGGTCAAGCGTCTTATTAGCCCCTCGCGCCTTGAGGTTTGGAGGCCCACGCATCAGCACAAGCAGCACAACAGACATGCAGCGAGGGTACGCTACCGGTCCATCACCGCGGCGTGGCCATTGGTGAGGGCAAATCCATGCAGCTAAGCTTGCCCGCACGTGCGATCGTAAGGAGAACGCTCGATGCACGTGACTGTCTCCCGATACTTCTGCCGGCCGAGTCAGCTCATCTGTCGTGTGTAGCGTAAGCGCGCGGAGTGTGAGTTGTGAGTCGTGAGGGATCAACGGCGGTGTAAGATCCTGACCCACATGAAGAAAGCACGCTCGCAAGCGAGCGAGACAGCCCGCACGGCCTTGCTGACTACAACCTCACAACCAAGTGGTCGTTCAGCTCAGAGGGAAGGCCGTGTCAGCAGAGCTCAGGTGCAAACCTGAAGATCGAGTCGGCTCGCACTACGCAGCAACAGATCTCACCGCAATTTTCCACGACCAACATCGCGAAGAAAAGATGGCGCAGCAACAAGCAAGGCAGGCACTACGGCGCCTGTCCCAGCAGTTTCAAGAGCAGGCCAGACAAGGCTACCAGCGTGGTGGTGGGAGCAGCTCAGGAGGCAGTGGCGGAGGGGGTCCCGGAAATGGGCTTCGCAACGCCTTGGGCGGCGGGGCTGGCCTGTTCCTCCTTATTGGTGGCGGTCTGGCGATCAATGCCAGCTTGTTCAATGGTAAGTAGTGCTTCTTGATGCATGGAGGAGACTCATCGGGGTTTGGGAAGAAGATTTGCCGTCCGACCCGCATTGCTGGGTAGTTTTAGCAGTCGCGGCTCTCAGGACGGCGCACCATGCTATGTGCTAGCGAAGTGATGACAGCAGGGCCACTGCGGCTGAGAGAGCCCTTTCCCGTAACCCCCTGGACGCTGCTCACGCGTGCTTGCTCGTCCTCGCAGTCGACGGTGGTCATCGCGCCATCAAGTATTCTCGCCTTTATGGTGTGAAGCCAGACATCTTTGGAGAAGGGACGCACTTGATGGTGAGTCTTCTCGATGACCCCTCTGATGCAACGTTGCGACATCTGACTGAGCGTCGTGCGTCATATCTTGCTTAGATTCCTTGGTTCGAAACGCCCATCGACTACGACGTCCGAGCGAAGCCAAGAAGCATCGCTAGTCTGACAGGCACAAAAGGTGCGCATGCACGCGACTTTGTCCCTGAATTGGGCAGTCAGCTCACTTTCTGTCAACCTTGATCTCGGCTGCAGACTTGCAAATGGTCAACATCACCTGCCGTGTGCTTTCACGACCTAGCGTCAATGAGTTGCCGATCATTTACCGAGAGCTGGGAAGCGACTATGATGAAAGAGTTCTCCCTTCAATCGTGAATGGTAAGCATGTGCTGGCTGTGCCTTGCCCAAATCTCACGAGCCTGGCTGCTGACGTACAAGCGTGGCACACAACTTCCGACCACAGAGGTGCTCAAATCTGTCGTTGCGCAATTCAATGCGTCTCAGCTCATCACTCAGCGAGAGATGGTGTCGAGATTAGTAAGAGAGAACTTGACACAGAGGGCGAGACGATTCAACATTGTTCTCGATGATGTGTCTATCACCCACGTCGCTTTTTCACCGGAGTTCACCCACGCTGTGGAAGCCAAGCAAATCGCACAGCAGACCGCCTTGCGCGCTGCCTTCCTGGTCGATCAAGCCATCCAGGAGAAGGCGTCGATCATCGTTAGGGCCCAGGGTGAAGCCAAGAGCGCTGTGCGTGTGATCCCAAGACTCGTGCCACCTGCCAAGTTGCGACACTGCGCTGACTTCGCAACCCTCAAATTTTCGCACAGGAACTTGTTGGACAAGCAGCCCGCGGGGGTTTCTTGCAACTGCGAAAGCTGGAAGCCGCGAGGGACATCGCCGCTATCCTGGCAAACAGCAGCAATAGGATCATGTTGGACGCGGATAGCCTGTTGCTCAACACGTAGGTACCGGGTGCATTCCATCGTCTCGTGTTGGGGTTTACAGTGGCGGCTGACCATCCTCTCCTTCTCCTTGACGCAACTGATATACTGTAGCCAAGACATGGACCCGGATGCTGCCAGGAAGAAAAAGTAGGAACCCATGCCATACAAGTGCACGCCTTCTTGTTGACGCCGCTGATCAGCATGAGCGACGCGCAATTCACACCATTCATCCGCTTCGCTGTCTTATAGAGACATGCCCACGCGTGTGATCCAACGGGATGATTGCGTCGCGTCATTCGCGCTCGGTGGCTCGTTCCAGGGGGCCTGCTCAGGGACTCGACCGATGCCAAGGTTAGCAGCTACTGAACGCTGTGGTGTCTGATGGAGACTATGAGTTGCATTAGGTGAGCGCTTTTGATTACAGGTGCAAAATAAGTGGGGGGCTCGTCTTGCAAAGTTTCTGTAAACGTTGGCAAAATGGCCGAGCTGGACTTCAGTCTACAGCGGGCGAAAATTTACCAAGGAGCAAAGCCAGCAAAATTGATTTGTTGTTGATCTTCGAGCTTTGCGACAACTGACAACTGCTCTCCGTCGATCTTGAGGATGGCTGTTGGCGCAAGAGTCGAGTAGCCTTGAGCGATGCGCTTTGTTATGCTTGCAAAACGAAACTCACCAAGCGTGCCACTGGCCTGGTTTGCTGTGGCTAGATAGCGACCATCTGGAGAGATCGAGAACTGCGAAGAAACGATAGGTCATGAAGTCAATAGCAGTGTGGGACGTACCATATGAATCGATTGCGAGCGTGTATGGTACGAGACGAGGAAGCTAAGTGACTCACGTGGCGGGTGTTGCGACCTCCAGATGGATACCAAGCTAGCCACTCGAGGCGGTCGTTCGGCAAGCGTCTCAGCACGCTGATATGATCCTGAGTAGAGTCGCCGCGGTTACTGACATAGACCAGCGCGCCATCGACCGAGGTTTGGACCTCTGCCAACGTTCGAGCTGGTCCGTTCTCAGCGTCGCCACCCAGTTGCGTGCCAGGAGGGACGCTGAGGATGGGTGCACCGATCTGCGACAACTTGCCAGTCTGCGGGTCTTGTGTGAATGCGGTCACTGTGTTGGCGAATTCGCTGGTCAGATATGCAACGTGCTTGACGTCATGGGAATGGCGTCGCAATTGTCCATTCGCGCTAGCGCCGTGACCATGTGTGTCGTACTTGGCATCTCGAACGAATTTGAGGTGTCGAGGGCCGCTGCCAGGCTCGACAGGAGTCTCAGCCAACAACTCGGCCAGGTCCGCTCTCTCGCCGACTTTGATGGTCCTAATCACATCGCTGCCCAAGTCGGGGACGTACACGAATTTGCCGTCAGGGTCAGCGACGGCATCATGCGCATACGGTGCATTTTGACGCTTGGTGACTGGACCAGTCCCTGAGCGTGTAAAGTTGAAGACCTTGGCTGGAGGAAACGCAGCTCCATCCGGAGATAGCGGCAGGACGGCTGCTGACCCGCCGTCGTAGTTGGCTAAGTGTCGTCGGCAAGGCGCAGCGGGTCGTAATGGACGCGCAACGCGCAACGCAGAAGACGCTAGCAAGTTTCAGCTCGCCTAACTCATCGGGCCAAACCCCGATTCGCGTAAAATATCAAAACCATATTCCCGCATCGGCTCACCAACGAACAGCTGTGCTTTGACCAAATCACTGGCTACAGGGCCATTGCCGCCCGTGGAGGTGCGGCTGATGCCACCCGAAGCTGTTAGCTGTCCGTCAGCTTCACTTTTGAGCACTATCGCTTCGCCAGGCGTCGCCTCATTCGTGGCGTAGATGATATGGGACTGCTCCAGCTTGCCTCCGAACGTCAGCCACGAGGGCTTGCCACCTGTTGTCTCATTTCCTACCTTGCCAATCTGTGCGAGACCGGCAGGCGGGCGGAAGGTAAAACTCTTGCTGTTTTGAAGGCCACCGATCAGGGACAGGGCTGGCTGTCAGTCTCAGCCAAATTGTAATTGCAGCCGCTCACTGGCCAAGGCTTGTTCCTTAGGAGGAAAGTTAGCAATCTTCCTGCACTCACACATCCCCTGAGTAGCTGGAAGTGTAAAGCGCGTACTCGGTGGCGAGCTGCCCGGTCTGTTGCGCGCTCATCACGCCCTGAAGCAAGCTCGAAGCGGACAATAGCGCCAGAGCTGCGATGGTACTTGGGCGCATCAGAGCCGCTGGTCGTGCTGGTCCAAAGCCTTGCAATCTGGCCTCAAGATGAGCGTCGGTACATGTGAAGTGCGAGCTAGGCGGTCTGCTGCTCACGCATCTGCTGCTCAAAGGCGATGCGAAGCGATTCCAAAAGAGTCTCAGAGTGTGAGTCACAGTCGTCACCTCAGAGGCAGTGGGCAAGTTCTGATGAGTCGAATGTGGAGCCAGAATACGTTGGTTGATTGGTCCGTCTGTGTTGAGCCGATAACGACGTCACCACAGATACCAGTTTTGCGTCACCAATCAGAGTCGAGAGTCATACAGCCACGTCACGAGTCTGAATCACGTGAATCGCGTGATGGCCATTCTCAGTAGTCCTATCTTGCATGCTTGGGAACGCCGCCGTGTCAGGCTGTACAAACGGACAAGCAGCACTTGTATTGCTGATGTACCCTATCAGTGAAGGTTAGGCCAGAGGATCAAAGTCTCCATTTGAGTTGGAAGGGTGGCCAACGGTGAGCTCTGGGTTCGAAAGTGCTATCGGAGCTTGCATTTACGAATAGACCATCCAAGTCACAACTGGTTTGCCATCACGAGTCCGTGTGACATCTTGACGGCGCTTCCTTAATCGTACTTTGGTAAAGCTCACTCCGATCGTGATTGAGCGCTACTTAGCGGCATGAAATCCTCTACCCAGACGCGGAGAATCTGACCATGACAGGAGCCGATGCCTCCACGCTGCTACGTGGGATACGTGTGAATGAATGTCCGGGTGTCGGGTGCGTGCATGGCGGAGTCAATACGGAAATGTTCGGAATCAGAATATGTGAATTTCAAACAAGGCTCGCCTGGCGAAGTCGGTTGGTCTAACTTCGTCATTCCCCCGACCAAGCATGACATACACATACCATCAGTCCCGCCGCCCACTTGTGACTCAGGCTGCGGTTCGCGACTCTCCAGTCGCAGTGCACGCGGCGGTCTGATGTGTGCGATGTGATCAGAATCATTTGGGCACTGAATCAGCCCTGAGAGTCATCGGACCTACTACTGCCGGCGCATGCATGGTCACGCGTCTTCTGCGAGTGAGGTGTCTGAAACAAGCTGCGAGGTGGAGGGGGGTTTCGTGGCATGAAGGCAGAACGCGCAAGGAAGCCGTGCTGGCCTTGCACCCGCATCGAGGAATTGACGGTTTGAGCAGCGTTAGGCTCACAAAAATTCTACGCGAGGACGGTATGTAAAGCTTCGGGTGATTAGGACAGAAAAATTCTACGCGAGGACGGTAAAGCTTTGGGTGATTAGGACAGAAAATGAGCGGCTGACAGAGTATGCCCATGAGCAGTGACAACAGCCGAGTAAAACAGGAATGTGTGCGTGGATTTCTGCGACACGCCAAGTCGAAGTAAAGCTTGATGAGGCAAGCATGGGTGCGAGCAGTCACGGTCGTGAGTCGCGAGTAGAAGTGTAGGCGAGAGTGGGTGCCATCAGTCACGAGTCACTCATCCTCCGGGGCCAACTCACATCCACTTTGACTCACTGACTACGTGACTCACGAGTCACGACCGTATACTCAAAACTGTGCAGTCTTGAGTGCGTACACTCACGACTCCCGCGACTACTGCTCGCGCTCGATCGTAACTCGATCGCCATGAACTCGCGACTACATGCATGCATGCATGCTCGGCAGCAGCTTGCCGCGCTAAGCAGCTTCGCCCTCGGCTAAGGTACAAGTACTGTAAATCGTCATCGGCAAACAGCCAATGCCCGACCCCGCTGGCTCGGCCGTACTGTGACTGATTGCATGGGATGATGTGCATCGGCTGGCTTTGTCAGACTTACGCATGCAGAGCATGAGTCCAGAGCCTTGCATATGATGACTGCATGCTGTTGTCAGCACTTTGACTCAAGACTCAAGCATGAATCACGAATGCGGACTCGTCTTCATTGGTGCGGCTCACCTCGAGCGCCCTTTGCACCTCCTGGTGAGGACCCTCCTGGTGAGGACCCTCCGCGCATGTTGAATCTCCACTATACCGCTGACCCTATAGTTGTCCATGCACAATCACAATTATACCCTGTCTCGCTAGGGTCAGAATATGATTGCAAGTATACTTCGCGACTGCAGATAGCTTACTGTACAGCTTTACGCCGCATGCTTGAGTAGTACGGTACAGATCGAGCAGGCATCGGGCCTCTCTATGTGACTTGGCGCGGCGCGTTTTCGGCTTTCGGCGAGCGTCGTGGTGCCGCGCGCGTACAGTATCGTGCCAAGCTGCAGAGTACCGGTGCGCTGCTGCTGCACGCAGAGGCGTCAAAGGAGAGACCGGGGCATTTAGGAATTCCAAACAGTCAAGAGTAGCGAGACGCCGCTGCATGGCGGTGGGTTTGCGAGGATTCAAATTCGCAAAATTGTAGCACAGCAGTTGTGATTCACGTTATGAGTACGTATAGCAAGTAAGTGGGCAAATGCAAGTGCATGACGGCAGGCGTTATTGAGTATTATTGATACAGCGCACCGCACCCAGAGCGCCAAAGATTGTTCATGATTCACTGGTGGTGACTTGCGCGACACTCCTTCACCACCACCCAGACTACCACACACCACTTTTCCCTCTCTGCTCGATCGCGTTGCTCGATCACACGTTTCGGCCAATACGATAATACCTGGCGCTGCTCCAGTCCCTTGGGCTTGCACAAGTCAAGCTCGCGCTCCCTGCCTCCCTGACTAGCAATCGCCAACGCGGCGCCCATCCTTAGTACAGTCACACCACCTGATCTCACTCAGACTCATTCCCTGGCACGCTGGCTGTGACCACAGCACCGTAGCTGCGAACCATGTCCGCCACGCAGTCTTTCGCCTCTACCAATCTTCCATTATCGTTGGGTGCACCCATCACGTCTTCATCGTCAGCCAGCCGCACCGGTAGCGATCTCTTCGCTCGCAGACTGGCCAAGAGCTGCGGAGACTCGCAAAAGAACGAAAACCAAGCACTGCTGGCTCAGCTGAATGGAACACCTTCGTTTGAAGCTCAGAGAGCCGTCGCCATGGCCTTCATATTGCGTCGTGCAAGCGAGCGCTCCAACGTTTGTACGCAAGCAGAACCTCATCAATTCTCTCAGGCTGAAATCGATGAATCTCCTCAAGACCACCAATCCACGCAATCTCGACCCCACCATGACAGCAGCGATGCGAGCTCTCCCGTTGCAATGTCTCCCTTGACAGATGAAGTTCACCATGCTTTGCGCCAGAACACGGTCAACCATCACGTGTTGGCGCCGTGCCTGGATCTACCGATGCTAGCCTTAGGAGTCCAAGAGCATCGCTACTGTTCTCCAGGACCAGCAGCGGACCTCGCCAGTTCCAGTGCTGACTTCGCTAGGGAACTCAACAGATGGGCTGCGACGCCAGGAGGCGGTCTGGTCTATCCTTGGTCTGCGTCTGCAGCGACGCCACCGTCCGCATCACCCCAGCATCACTTTCCGCCCTCTTCTTCGTTGATGTCTGCTCATAATAGAGATGACGGCTTGAGCGTACTCGATCCGCGCTTTGGCAACCTCACTGCAGACACCGCTTTTCGCATGCTATCTGACGGACCAGACTTTGCACGCATGTCTCGCGCCGAATCTAGCAACACGTCCAACAGCTCTGAGCACCATTCGAGTTCGCACTCCGGCTTTTCCGTTTCGACTGGCATAGCTCCTAGCAGCTCTCTCACGACCTCGGCGTCTTCTTTCGGTCAACCTTGCGAGCCTCACGATCATAGTCGGACACCGTCGCCCAAGCGAACTTCGTCTGGTTCCCTCCACAATTCGCAGGAGGCTCGTCGCAACACTGCACCGCGCAATCAATTGCGACACAAGGACGAACCTCTGTCTAGCGTGCACTCTGATTTCACCGGGCTTGAGGCCTCGACAGCTGTCATGACATCTGCATCCACTGCACCCTCAAAGACGCAATCGAGACGCACATCTGCCGTAGACTCGAATGGCAGATACGTCTGTCGCCATCCAGGCTGTGACAAGACGTTCAGCACCAGCGGTCATGCCCGCCGACACAGCCACGTGCACTCGCCGCTCTGCCCCTTCATCTGCCCGCACGAAGGCTGCGACGCGACGTTCTCCCGGCGCGACAATTGCACACAGCACCAGCGCGCCAGACACTCGCAGGTCTTGGAAGCTCATCGCCTTGACGATCAAGATTCCGGTTAAGGAGTTTGTATCGGTTCATCTTCACAACTCTACGCAGACCTCGCTTGCGAAAGGGTAGCCCGGCACGTTCGCTTGGACTGTCTCCGAGCCGTCGTCTTTCCTGCATCGAACCGTTATGGAGCGCTTGGCTCTTCCATATGTCCTCAATCTCCTGCTGAGCCCCACGTCTCATGTATCTGACTTCCATCCGCATGGCATCCGCAATCGTCCCCCCGTTTTCGCAAAGTACCCTCCTCTTCGTCTACTTGTCTTCGTGTCTTGCTTTTGTTTCCCCCCTCTTGCCTTCGCAAACCCCTCGCAAACCCCTCGCAAACCCCTCGCAAACCCCTCGCAAACCCCTCGCAAACCCCTCGCAAACCTTTCTCGATCCCTCGTCCGTCACGTTGTCTCGAACATGTTCTCAGCCACCTTTGGTGCTCATACACGTATCATCAAGGACAAGACACTTCTGCCCACGCCATCGTTGATGAAAAATCGTTTATCAGCAACTGTTTGCACGACAATCAATCGCTCTGGTCTTCCCCTAAGTCTCACTAGCCACTCGTCTTGGCCTCATGCACCCCGGTTCTCTCGCACTATGATGCACCGTCTTGAGATGTGATGTACGTTTACTGTGCAGCCATTGGTTAGGTACGTCAAGCCGCAAACTAACTGTGTCCGCCCCCAGTTCTACTCGCATCGTTACTTCTCGCGTGATGTGCGCCTTGCCTTTTTGCTGTTGACTGTCTGCCTCGTGGCAACGTGCAGGGCGGTCGATGCTCTTGCACCACACCTGTCTCCGGAGATGGTTACTGCCCATCTACCTCGAAGCGTGCTCGAAACAGGCTCTCGCCCTTCACCCTCGAAGTGATTGGTGCCCATAGGGACGCACTGTGCGTCTGTGGTGAAGACCAGAATCAAGAAGGCGCATAGAGCGGCTTTGACCATGGTGCAGCACTCAGTCTGCTGCTCTACGTCAGAAAGGACGCTGCTTCGATCCGCCGCGCGTTCTAGCGGTGTTCGTCACTCGCAAGCAAGCGAAGAAGCTCCGGGACCAAATCTGCAGACAATTGGACATCGCAAGTGTCAATCCCGTCAGGCAAGCCGTGTGCAACAGCACGCAGCTGACCCAAAGTGCATAATCAAGACAGACAAGGGTGAAGCAAATGAAATGGTGCATTGAGCCGCAAGCGTAGTAGGTATCTCGAATTGTATCAAATGTCCATCAGCGCGTCTCGCACTGGGTTGCTCTTCGTCTAAAGGAGCTTCGCGTGAAAGCGCTAGCGAAGGAAGTTTCCCAGCTGGCCACCGAGTCCGCCCTGGCTACCATGACCGTGGCGGTGATGTGTCTCGTGGCCATGATGTTTATCTACGATCGTGTGAGACGTGAGTGAGATGAGTCAGCATGCTGAGAAATGCCAAACAGCTTCGAACCACATGCTTCCACAATGTTGTGTTCCCCAAGACTGCGACTCACGGTGATCCTTTTCCTTCCTGTCCAGAAGCATCTTCACACCTTGCGCAGCAAGTGCGCCACCAACGGCCCCCTTCAAACCACTGCCACCGCCAAGCAACTTCGTGCCTGCAAAACCTGCGACACCTCCCAATGCCATGGTGCCGATGCCTCTTTCTCCGGGAGGCAGTGGGTTGCCGCGTTCATCGTACTGCACTTGGCCCTCCTGTCCCGCACCAGGCTGTTGACCGTACTGCTGCGGGTGAGGTGGCTGTCCATGTGCGGGAGCCGAAGAGTAGTAATCGCTTGCGTGGCCTCTACTCTGCTGCTCTGGCTGGCCATATGGGGATGAGGGATAGCCGCTAGGTGCACCAGATGAAGAGGGGTAACCATAGCCTGATTGCTCGTGCGGAGCACCGTAGTTGGGCTGAGAGTCGGGATAGCCGCTAGGTGCACCAGATGAAGAGGGGTAACCATAGCCTGATTGCTCGTGCGGAGCTCCATGGTTGGGCTGAGAGTCGGGATAGCCGCCGAAGCCACCGGCGGGTGGGCATCCGCCTTGCCCATTGCTGCCTTGACCGTATGCCGCCGAGGTATCGGCAACGGGCATTGATGGTCCGCTGGGATAGTAAGACATGACTTGGGGTTCTGGTGTGTGAGGTGCTGAAGTGCGCCGTTGGTGATGTTGTAGATCTATGAAAGTGATGTCTTGCTCGCTCGCGTTTCCTGTGACAGTTGTTGGATGTGCGAATGAGCAGAAGGGGTCTCTACTTGAAAAATGGTGAAGTTGAGTGGGAATGTGGATTAAGAAGTTCGGCAGCGAATGCGACGCCTTTTGTACCTTCGCCGTCCTGCTCGATCACTCAAATTTGGGAGCGCAAGACGCAGATGTTCGTGACCACGAGGTCTCACATCGGCAACCGCGACACCGTTAAGCAGCTTGTCTCATGCACGTCATTTATCGCAATCAGCGGCGTGGCAGTGCTGCGTGCTAGCTATAGGCGCCCACACGCGCACATGGGCGCAAGTTGCCTCAAGCGCCGAGCATCCGACCGCCTGGTGTCCATGCTGGGCGCAGCACCGCGCCAGCCAATCACGACTGCAGCAGCGCGGCTCCCACACTTGCGGAGTCGCGTCATTTGCGTGATCGCATGAATGCTGAACTGCAAGCCAAGGTGGCTGTGACTTGCTGAGCTTTAGATCTGGCACGAGCCGACGCAGCCTTCCGCGGGAAATGACCTTCACAGCCAGCTATATAGCTGATGCTGTGCACAGCCGTCTCGAGGTCGCTGGAACATATCGATCAACAAGCCAGACCGCAAAGCCGCCGGAGCGTTGCTGAAGGTGCATGGTGTTAGGAGCTGTGCTGGGCAGGACAGACGTAGCACAGCCTTCTGTCTGGGCTGAGGGGGGACCGTAGGCGTATGAGGCGAGCGCGCGCTCTCTTGGCTCTATCATGGTGGGGATGGGTATGCATGCAGCATTTGTTCGCGACCTTTCTGTTTCGCGTGCTGGCAGCCGACAGATTGAAACTGTCAGCCACGTGGGCTTCGCGTCGCTTCTCGGTACGCGTTCCGGGCACGGCCGTGCATGCAGCGCAGCGCAGCGCA